CAGTGGACTCCGAGGAGCTCCCATCTGAGCCCCCCGCCGTCTCTCCGTCCGTGATCTCACCCTCCACACCGGCGGAAGAGGAGGAGATTGATCTCGTCGAGCAACTCTACGGCACCGATAGTTCCCTCCGTGCACACGAGATTGACATTTCCGACTCGATTGTCCTCCCGCCGCCGCCGAAAAACAAAGAGCTCGACATGGTCACTTGGTCGCGCACTTCTTCTAACCCTGACACGCCATTCCTTGACAAGCATGATCCGCTAGGCGCGCATACCCCCTCCCTAGGCTTAGCTATACCTTCCGTTCAGCGCGGTGGATCGCAGCCCGTCAGCGATCCCAATACCCCATTACGCGTCCAAGGTCAGGGAATGACCCCGCAGCGCGTGCTATCTCTCGATGAGTACTCCGAGCGCATGCGCACTGCGGCAGTCATGCTCGCGCAGCTCAACGCGAGCCTCGTCAGAGAACCCATAACCGCCATGTCTGGCCCCGGTATGCCACCCCCACCTCCAGAGCTCTCTATGTTGGGCGCCCCTCTGCGCTGGCTCCCTGGCACGAGCTGGCTCACTGGGGCTGTGGCGAACGGCAACACGGTTCCCGCAACGCCCGGGGGGCTTACCGAGATGGGCGCGCCGATGGCCCCCGCTCCAATGCGTATGAAACTCCAAGCGTCGGAGGCTGCGGGGATCCGGGACCGTATCATGGATGAGATGCTGGCTCTGGAGGAAGAGCGGATGGCACGCATGCGTGAGAACGGCGTTAACGAGAGCTCATTGCGGATAACTCCCACGAATGGGGATATGAAGACGGCGGAGGACGAGGGCATCATTCGGCGAGAGCTCAGTAAAGCGGATCCGTCCGCTGTGGTCTTCAGCGAGTCTTGGGCTGCTAAGAAGGTGCGCTCCACATTCGTTGCACTGACATCTGTGCTCAACGCATTCGTGCTAGGCGCGTGTACGACAAGCATCACCTTACGGTCACCTGGGTATGTGTTTCAAGGCTCAGAGTCGCCGTATCTTTCGTTCACCGGCGGCTCAGCCAACTGGGATTGTGTCTCTGTGATCGTCAAGACGGGTGGTGATCTAAGACAGGAGCAACTCGCTGTGCAACTTATTCAGGAGTTCGAGAAGATCTGGAAGGACGAAAACTGCCAGTGTTGGGTACGGTAGTAAGTATAGCTCTTCTCGAGGTGGTGCCGCCAACAAAGTAAACTACTCGCCAGCTTCCGCATCCTAATCACAGGTAACTCTTCCGGACTTGTAGAGACGATCACCGATGCGGTGTCAATACACTCTATCAAGAAGGCTGAGTATGCGCGGAGGTTGGCAGAGGGCCGGTTCGGGCACGTCACCTTGTTCGACCACTTTAAGACGGTACGTCCCCCTTTACGTATCATTCCCAGGTTTTGTACCGAATGCACACCCTCACGTAGACGTATGGCGATCCTTCCTCCGCCAAATTCGTGCGAGCACAGCGTAACTTCGCCAAGTCGCTCGCCGGGTACTCGGTCGTGACGTACTTGCTGCAGATCAAGGACCGGCACAACGGCAACATCCTGCTTGATCGCGATGGGCATCTCATCCACATCGACTTCGGCTTCATGCTCGCCAATTCTCCAGGGAACATTGGCTTCGAGGCCGCGCCATTCAAACTCCCACTTGAGTACATCGAGGTTCTAGGCGGGTTGGATAGCCCTGCATACCGCGAGTTCCGGAAGCTCTTCCACGAAGGGTTCGAGGCCGCTCGCAAGCACTGTGATCGGATTGTTAGTAAGTAAACCCATAGATCGTGCATAAGCAAAGATTATTGGTGGCTCATATTTATTGTATAGCGTTGGTGGAGCTGATGCAGAAGGACTCGTCACTACCATGTTTTGCCGCTTTTGGCGAGCAGACGGCGTCTATATTGCGGGATCGATTCCAGCAAGGCCTCACTCAGGTCGCTGTAGAGGAGCACGTACAACGGCTTATCGATGCTTCGCTCGGATCGAACTGGACAAGATTGTATGACTCGGTAAGTGACTGGTGTCCGCAGTCGCTGCCGAGGCATCCGCTGACATTCCTTGGGGCGAACAACAGTTCCAGTACTACTCGCAGTCAATCCTGTGACAGGCCGTCAGCGTAAGCTAGCGGGTAGGCATATACTCCATCGCGGTCCGCCACAATACGTGTGCACACTAGGCGTGCGTTGGGTGTCGAGCATGCACCTCCTGCTGTCTGACTCCCCTACCATTGACACTGCCCGGCTGAAATTGTTCGAGCGGGCAATCCGAGAGCCTGCAGTGACTAGAAGGGACGCGCGGGGACGGCGCCACACTAGCTCACACAGAGAGGGCTTCGTAGCACTTGTCACTTGAGACAGCTGTACTCCTGTACTCATCGTAATTTGTAGTAATAGCGTAATGTCAGCCTGGAACGGACCGGATGAGGCCAGCGGATGTCCTGGATCCCGTAACACAGTTAATTATATATTGCAGCTGCAAGTATCGCACGGCACTTATTTGCTTCTCTTGGCTCGCCCTGTGCGGAACGCGGTTTTAGCCTGGCTGCCGAATGGAGCCTACAGCTGGATACACGGCTACACGTTCTGCCAGTCTCGATTACATTCTGGTTGTACCTAAGTGCGCGTACGAGAAATAAGCCCGCCCGACTTGCGAGCCGGTCGAGTCGAATTCAGAATTCGAAGTTCGAGCCACTAAGAGGAGAGCAGAATAAACAGACATGACTCAGGTCACGAGTCTTTCCATGCCGACGCCCGTTCTGTACGGGCGGTCAAGGCGGCCATTTCGCTACCGGTCTATTATCGAATGATTGGGTTCGCACACATGTTTGAAGTCTCGGAATACACGCCAGTGGAGTCACAGGTAATAAATAATGTAACGGACGGGAATATACAGGCCCCACAAGCTCACGCGAACAGGTTGTCGTAACGCTTGAGACAACTGTACCACTCGTAGTCTGGCAAATCAGGGTGAGCTAGCGTACGAAGGCAAGAAGTAGGGCACTCACCGAAGTTCTCTTGAGGGTTGCACCAACACTTGCCTTTCTTGTGTAGCTCGCCTTGAGGGCAGTGCTGGAAGGGGTTGTGACGGTAACCGATATCGTTGAAGAAGTGAATCTGCTCCTTCTTGGCAAAGAGAGCGGCGCCGATGCTGTGGACCGGTGCATCTCCCCAACGCTGATTGATATTAGAGCGTGCGGGTAAGCCACGGCGTGTGTTTTCGTACCTCATAGTAAAAGCCACCCTTCTCGTCGAGGAAATCGAAGAACTTCGAGTATGCCTCTCCACGCCAGAGATCCAGGTCACCGATCTCGAAGTTGCTCCAGACTACCCGGAAAATTACACATCAAGGCACCACGGATTTCTGGTGTGCATGCACTTACAATGACAGTTGTTGTAAGTTTCGCCGCCGTCATCCGAGATGAAACGCATGGCATTATCGGACTCGACCAGGTCGGGGTTCGCGTTGATGAATTCTATAATCCATGATGAGTTGGCGGTAAGTGGGTCTATACCTGCCCAACTCACCTCTGACCGCGTCCCACAGTGTGGGAATAGTGGCAGGGTACTCGTACAGCGAGACAGTGAAACCTGCACAGCAGGTTTAGCGGTGTAGTTGAATACTGAAATCTAGTACTGACCGTAAACCTTTTTCTGATCCTGCATAAGGAGGAATGGCTAGGTATATATAGTGTTAATGACGCGCATATACCGAGGAACGAAATTCATAACTTACGTCGTAGTGGATGTCGCAGAAGAAGTTCACATCAGGCCTACCAACCGATTAGTCTAAGACCGAAGGGTGGACACGTTGCGGACTCACTCAACACGCCAGTAGTACCTGTACTTTTGCAGCAACTCATGTCTGTAGAAGAACTAGACCCAGTTTAATCCTTTGATTGGAAGTATCGGGAGACAATCACTCACACCAGAGTTGAACCGGCACATATTGCGGTAAGGAACGCTTCCTCCGTAAATGACTTTCTTCTCCACCATATCCTTGCGAGCAGCGGTTGCACGAGCTTCATCAATCCATTCAGGCTGAACCCAGTCTTCTTTGGGGATGAGTCCAAACTCAATCTTGGAGTTGGTGAGAGTTTGTACGCGACTGGTTTAGACGGATGAGCATAAGAGGCACATGTTGAGTGATGGGAAACGTACTCTTTGAACTCTTCCGAGAATGGCTCCTCGTTGAGGAAGACGTAGGGGTAGTGGAACTCCTTGTTGAAACGATCCTCTAGGGAATGGTTCAGTATGCATTCAACATCGTGTTCGTTTGTAGAGACGCACCGACTTGCTTCATACTCATGACAACGCCGTTAAGGTCGCCATTACGAGCTAACAGCACGAACGTAGCGTTTGCCTTCCTGCCCTGTGATGGAGGGGGCGTCGAAACGTAATAATCATCTGGTACACCATTCTCATAGGGCGGATGAGGCTTGGAACCGCCAAACTGCTCTGAGAGGCGAGATATAGATGTCGCTCGACCGTATTCTTCGTGCGAAAAACTTAGGATGAAGTGCAAGCTGATCTACGTGGTTGGTGTCAGGACGAGAGACGCAGCGGAAGACGAGGATGGTTGCTCACAATGATGCCCAGCACCAATACCACATAACGCATGGGCGTCATCATGTTGGCGACAGGGAAGGCCTACGAGAGGCTGCGGTAAGGAATGGAGGTGCTGGAAGGTGCGGACGGATGGGGGGAGTGAGGGGGAGGAGGAGGCCTGTGCTGAAGTCTAAGAGGCTGGACGCGCAGCTGGAGTAACACCCTGGGCGCCTAACCGTGTTATGTTGCGCTCGCCGCTCAATCATCCGTTCCAGTGCAGACTGTAGCGCCAGCCTCTCGTCGGCCCGCGCCAAGCCCGCGTGCAATGCAAAGTCCATACCCGCCAGGTTCCGCTGTTACCTCCTATCCTTGGGGCCAACTTTTCCACATGAAACTTGCACGGCACTGTGCATTCCGCGCGGATGTAAAGTCGTGCTCCAGCCAAGCAAAACTGGTTCGACCCGGGCTCGAACCGGGGACCTCCTGTGCACCACATGACCTACAATGGTCATAATGTGAGACAGACGTGATAACCAACTACACCAACGAACCGACACCTTGATTGCCAGATTCAACAACACGTCCGCGCAGTCCGAACGGTGTTGACAGCTCCCACTTCATCGATCGACCGTTCGACAAAAAAATTCAATGAAATTACATTATCAATACAATACATCCTGCACTAGCGACAACTAACGACGACATAGAGATACATTTACATAGCAGGTGCATGCATAGATAACGTGAGCGTGAACGCGACTCTATGCCACAAGATTACGAGCCATCCCATATTCCATAACGAAGTCTTTGAATAGTCCCACTAGAGCTCAATCCTAGCGAGCCGAACACCACAAACCACTCTAGGCGGTCGCCTGTCTATACGCCGGCACCGGGCCACTCGCCGACTGCATTGCAACGATGTTCGCCCTCAACGACTTCTGCACGGGCACTCGTCCATCCTCAGGGACCTCCTCCGTGACGTCGAACGTCACCCCAGGACGGCGGCGGCGGACAGTGCCGCGACCCTGCTGCTCATTCTCCTCTTTGTTGCGCCATTCCTGCGCCGCCGTCATTGGGTCCCGGAGCGGCGGCGACGGACGTCCCGCGGTCGAGCTCCTCGTCGAGGAGCCTCCGGTCAGCATTGCATTGATCTGGAGTGATGGCGTCAGTCATACAGTAACTAAGTCGGAACCAGCGCAGAGAGGCGTACCACAGTACCGTCCACCGCCTCTACGGATGCAGCGGAAACTGTGCGGTGTCGCCTGGACAACAACCTAAAGGGAGTGAACATCTTGCCGTTCGGGCTGCGTCTACCAGATGCAGAGACAGGTGTGGGCGCGGCGATGGGGACTTTATGAGAGCTGGGCCCACGTTGCGGCTGCGGTGGTGGTGGTGGTGGTGGGATCGACACAGTAGCGACGGCGACCTGCGGCGCGGGTGCGCCAGCCTGGGGCTTGACGGATACTTGGGGTGCCTGGAAGTTGGGCGGCGGATGAGGGCTAGGGTGCGAAATGTTAGGCGTGCGCTTGTCTCGGATCGCCGCGGACGGGGGCGGTTCGACCTCCCTTTGCTTAGGAGGAGATGAACGGGAACGGAAGAGACTTAAGCCGAAGAAGCCCTTCTTTTTTGAGTCTTTATCCTTGTCTTTCCCGATCGTCGACGTCTTGGATGTGGTGCGGCCCAACGGTACAGTCGGCGTCACCTGGGGGAGCATCGAAGGCGCTAGAGATGAGGGCGTGAGGAGCACTTCCTGCTGTTGAACTGTAGAGCTAGACGCCGTCCTCGGAGGCATATGGTGTCTCGAAGGCAAGCTCCCGGTAGCATAGGCGGCATTAACAGCTCTACCGGCATATTGCGGATCTGAAGCGGTGCGCGAGTGCGCGGGGGGATGCTGGGTGACGTACTGACTCGGCACTGGGGCAGGGTACGTCTGGTTACGAACTGGCTGGGGAGGGACGGACTGTAATGAAGCAGGTGCTTTCCCCGAGGGAGATGACACTGCAGGTTGACGGGCAGGTCGAATAGTGGGCGCAGGAGAAGGGGCCGAGCGAGGAGGGATCCGCTGGCCTGAGGTGGGCGTCGAAGTGGTCGTTGGAGGAGCCGAATGAGGCGGATCTTGAGCCCGGTGTCCATACTCGGTGGCTTGAGCTGAACGGGCTTGGGCTTGAGATGCGGGCTGAGGATATTGGGAAGCGGTCATCTGAGGATGCGTAGTAGTGGAGCGACCATATTGATAATCGTAGGCGGTCTGGGTACTGTATGATTGGGAGTGTCCGGTTGTGGCTCCATTGGAAACGGGAGGCGGCTGGGCGTTAGGGTATCCTACAGGTGCAGGGGAACGGTATCTAGCGAGCTCGGGGTATCCAGCCGAAGCATTAGGCTGACGAGAAAGCGAAGCGTTATCGGGTCGTGACGCGGCGTGAGATTGTACGGCAGTGGCATTAGTGTATTGAGGGAGTTGCTGGTGGATAGTGCTACTGGGGGAGGGCTTCGTAGGAATTGTACGAGGGATAGTATCGCTGGAACCGTTGCGATGCGAGTGCAACCGGGTAGAGGGTGAGTGTTTCGGCGTTCCAGTAGACCCAACGGATACGGCGTGGCCAACGGCAGGTGACCGTCCAGGATCGGCGAGATGTTGTCGGGAGGGTGAGTGACCAGTTCCAGCAGTGGGAGCGTATCCACTGTCTCCGATCAATTGCGCGCTCTGTTGCTCGTGCCGCGGGGAGGGCTGATGGACGCTATTCTGAGCAGACTGCTCCCTTGCATGTCCGGACTGGGTACGAGGTCGAGTCGGTTGCGATTCAGGCGGTATGGTAGCTACCGAAGGAGGCTTCGGAGAACGAGGGTCGAGACCAGCAGCAGTGTAGTAGTTGGCAGGGTTGACGTGGACGGCATGGGTAGCCGCCGGCGCCAAGGCACCCGGATAAGTCATACCCCTCTTTGGAGATGCAGAAGGCTGTCCTAATGACGCTGGGGCCATGTTGTGGGAGTTAGCAGCTGCTATTGGAGGATTATACGCCACGCCAGTATAGTGTGAACCGTGTCCTAAGGCAGCAGCCGTACCTGCAGATTGTGGATGCGCTGGTGTATCCTCGTACACCGGGAACCGTGCAGGGTAATCCTGTGCGGCGCCTTTAGTATACCCCGACACATGGGGTGCTGGGCTAGCAATTCTGTGGAGGTCTGTAGCACCATTGTACTGTTGGGAAGTCCCCGGAGCCGATCGATATGGATCCACGTCAGGATGCTGCGTGGTGGTTTGGGGCTGTGAGTACGGCACTTGATTGGAAGTCGCCGATACCGTTTGAGTATGGCTCGCGTTTTGTTGAGGTGTCAGTGTTGAACGTGAACGCGGGTCATTCGGGAGTGGTTGTAATCGGCCGCCTTGTTGAGAAGATGCAGGGAGGACACCGGCTGCGGGTCGTGAAGAGTACGGATCGTGTTGTGTGGGAGCAGTTGACGGAGGTCGTATCACGACATCAGGCAGAAAGATCTGCTGACCACCGTGACCGTTAACAGCAGTAGTTGCCGCATCCCCGTGCCGAGAGGACGATGTCGCGTTGGGATACCTTTGCGCTGGTTGCTGATAAGCGCCCGTGGCGCCTGAGGTCGTAGAAGCATGCTGGTGAGTCCGAGAGGTATCCGCATGGGTAGAATGATGAGGCTGCCCAGGTGTTGACTGCAATAAAGCTTCTAGTTGCCGTGCGGCGGACTGCTGATTGTACTGAGTTGCAGCTTGCGAACGTGAAGTGGTATCCTGGGCGCGATCCGTAGGCTGTGGATCGGCCTGGCGAGCGATTGACGTTGAACTGTGCGTCTTCGACAGCAAGGTGCCCACGTGCGGTTCAGACGGCCCCTGTCCAGCACGAATGCTGACTATTTGAGGCGTAGGGCGATGAGATATAGTCAGACCTACGTGTGAAGTAGGCTTGCCTGTGTAAGGCGCACCGAGCTGTGTGGATGTAGCATCATAGGGTACAGCAAGTGGTGGGCCTTGTGGAGACTCGCCCGGTGCCGCGGGTTGTTTCGTCGCAGAAGCATCGTGTTGGTGCTGAATTCAGACCAAAATTAGGTGTCAACATGCTGTCAGGATAGAGGGCGGCTTACCCGTTGGTACCACGCAGCAGCAATCTCCTGACTTGTGCTAGGTCCGGGAGGTTGTTGGTGGTCAGCCGTCGCCGTCTTCGTCCTATGGCGTGACGATTCTGCGCGGGCCTTGTGTTTTCGCTGAACACAACAACTTTAAGAACATCTAGTACGAACAACTAGAGGTTGAGACTCACGCGCTCCTTATGTAGGGTGTGCGCCTTCTCATTTTCACTACCAGAAGGCCCGGAAGATTGCCCACGCCCCAGGGTACTTGCCTGTTCCCGACTTACGTAGCGTCTGGCCTGCATAGAGTCTTTAACATTGAGTGCAGGGTTACAAATGGACATAAACGTACTCGTTCCACGACCGAATGCTCTTGTTCGCTGCTTGATATCCCAGAATCGTGGGCGGCTTGTTGAACAAGCACTTGATGACGATGAGAGTGACGAGTCTTGGATGACGACCTCTCGCGTCTACTTCCAGGTGGTGGTATAGGCAGCGGAAGATCTTCTCTGTCAGAGGCAGAGGGGCAACCTGTATCCAAGACGGCTGTGGAGGTTTGAGGGACCGCCCGCCCACCAGCCGTGAAGCCATTCCATGGCGTGGTGGGAGGGGCCGGAGATGAGATAGGCGCAGCTTGTGAGACTGGCGTGCGGCCATAGTCCTGATCGAGGTTGAGCTAATGTCAGACGTTGAGGTTTGAACTGTGCGTACTGGATAGCCAGCCGGCAACCTCTCAGTAGACCTCTGCGCTGGGACAGGTCCCTGACCATACCCCTGATGTATACTAGCCGCATCGGGAGGCTTGTGGTCTCTCGCTGCTTGTGCTTCACGATCCCCGGTCCGCTCCTTACGCCTCTCCCGGTCCTTCGAAGGCCTATCCTTGTCCCTTCGAGTTTCCTTCTCCTTCCTCTTCCGCCTCTCCCTCTCCTCGGCAGTTTCCACTGCACGGCTACGAGTACTGGCCTTCTCAGCATCACGCCGACTGGATCTTTCCCTATCCTTGTCGCGCTCACGATGGTGACGCGAGGACGAAGTTGCATCGCGCGTAGTCTGATCGGCAGGAGCTGCGTTATAATTCGTGGCTGCGGGAGGTTGGACATATGAGGCACTCGTCGCGTAATCATGTCGGGAAGGATATGCTGAACGCGACATATGCGGGTCGTCACTTCCCGGTACCTTCTCATTGGACGACCGAGGACTGCGTTTATCCGTCTTCCGTTTGATGTATGCGCGAAGTCCGTACGCATCAGGGTACACGTCCTGCGCGCGATATTGTGCGGACGGTGCCGGAGATGGCAGAACGGGATGGTACGACGACGGCAGCGCGGAGGATGCTCTGTCCCTGCTGGAAGACTTGTGGTGGTGCGAATGCGAAGCCGCAGAGTCCAGAGGATCCGCTCGTCGCGAGCTGCGATGCTTCCTCGAGCCATCCACTATCGCGTGCTTGTCCTCGTTGTGGC